ATGCCGAGATTGCCGAGCCTGACCTCCTCATCATGTTAGTAATGTAGGTGAAACCTAAACGACCTACGGGACCCTGAAAGCACTCCCATGTGGCAGTTACGCCGTCGATTTGGGTTCTGTAGCCTAATGCGTGGGTGTTATCAAGCATGATAAGACGTTACTGAGTGCGCGATTGAACAGGCGTAACCTAACAATGTGTGCAATGAGTGAGGACACTATGTACGCCGTGGGTGAACAAGGCGGCCGGCCTTGGCTGGACAAGGGGCTCTGAGCTTGTCTAGCCATGCAACGAGCACTAAAACTACAGTAAACAAGGGGGTTCAGCGTCCGTATAACATCCGTGTTAGAATGCGAAAGTTACAAGGGGGACCGGAGTTCCTGAAAGCCTGAGAGCCGTACAAGAGACCCAATCGCTAGCGGTACACGCTAGGCAGCCGCAACAAAGCAACCTACCCCAGGGACATGCCTTGCAAAAAACAAGGAGCCATGCCAGGCACAGAACCACCTGAAACCAAGCCCGCAAGGCCACAGCTCCACAAACACCAAGCCCACGAGGGGGAAACAGCACTCAGGCGAAGCCCGCGACAGAAGCAACAAATTATTGTACAGAGCAACTGCCAAGCTGCTGCTTTGTGACACAGCAGTGCCCAACTGTCACCAAGTCTGACGACAACGGCGTGAGCCTAAGGTAAGAGCACCCATAGGGGTTGTCAATGGCAAAACAATCCAGGGTCAGGGGGAGGCCGGCGGGGACGCAGTATCAGGCGGGCCAACAAACCGTACACGGCCAGCCGCATTTGCAAGGAAAGGGTGAATAGGGGGAACACAGTCCCAACCGCGGGGAGGCACACCTAAGACAGCAAAGGACTGGAGGCGGGACCAGAAATCAGCAACAACACGAGCACCCAGCACAACAAGGGACCGTCTGGGGAGGGGGGTCCGGCCACTGGTGTCAGCATACAACCACCTACGGGCCTGTTCAAGAGCCGAAAGAGCGGCCAGCGCCACGACATCCCACACACAACCATGCACACCGTCTGGAGGTTGGACTAACCACAAATGTTGCCTAGTAAATGCACTATCAAGTGAGCCCACGGGTGCACCTAAGGCCTCGCCCAGGGCCTCACGAAGGGTACGGGCCACAAAGCACTCCCAAAACAAGTGTAACCGATCTTGTGCCACTCCAAAGGCGACCAGGGGTGCTCCACACGGGCAGGCCAATGAGTGCGAACGGCCCTGCGCAGCTGCCCGGGCGGCATGGCTGGCATGCAGAGGGAAGCCCGCGCAGCCATTGAGGGCGAGCCGCCACAGCGCCTCCTTGTGTTGGTTCTCCCAGCGCAGACGCCACAGCCGCGCCAAGGTAGATCGAAAACCAGCAAGGACGGCAGGGGGGGCGTCGGGGGACCCGCAGGCCTCCGCCACAAAGGTGGAATGCTTAGCATGGAGGTCGCAGTAGGCCGGGGCGAGCTGGAGGTGGGTGCCAAGGCGCACACTGAGGCGAAGCAGGGGGACGGCTGTCGGGAAGGTGGGCGTGGGGCGCCAGGCAAGCGCACGGGCAAGCACCCGCCAGGCCTCGTCGGCCGGCACGGCAGCCGAACCGGCAGCCGCAGCCGTCACCGCAGCAAGCACCCAGGGTTGCGGGACCTGAAGCAGAAGGATGTGGAGGCGCCGGAAGGCGTGCCAGCCCGACAACAGCCGGGGGGGAAACTCCAGACCAGCAGGGAGGGTCAACACTCCACGGAGGACCAGGCGGCGGAAGGCCCTAGTACATTGCCGCAGCAGACGGGGAGAAGGCTGGTCCGCGGGGTTGAGAGCCGCCGTACGGAAGCAGGGGAGGTCCCGAAGGGCAAGCCAGCTCCGAACAGCGACCCCGATGGAGGTGAAGCCGGGAAGGGCGGCAATGTCAGGGAAGGCGGTCTCCAGGCCGGCGCCGTCGGTGGTCAGGAGCGCTGGGTTGCCCCACAAGGGAGCAGAGGAGCACCAGGGACCAGCAAGGGCAGCCGGGTCAGGGATGTGGAGGGTGCCAAGGGGTGCGAGGGCACTGACCAAGGAGCACAGGGCGGGGCAGTCAGCCGGGATGGGGCGGCCCAGGACTGTCCGGCCGGCGTTGGGCATGAGGACGCAGAGGGGGTGGGCTGCGGGATGACATCGGCGTAGCAGAGACAGCGCCACCCGGACCCAGGGAGGAGTAACGGGCAGGAGGCCGCAGGCACCGCTCACAAAGCGCACCGCAGTGGCAGCCTGGCGGGCGCGGACGTGCTGCACCAGGGGGAGGAGCCCAAAGCCGCCAGCAGCAGGAGGCAGTGCAAGGCAGCCGTGGCCGACTCCGGTGAGGCGCTGATGGGGGGCAGTAGCATGCTGGGAAGGTGACAGACGGCGATCGACGACAGCACCAACTGTGCCCTGGAGGCGGGTCAGGGCGCGCTGCGTGGGGAGACCCTGAAACTCCAGGTGATACAAGGTCTTGCTCAGGGCGTAGCCAGAGGCCGCGAAGGCGCGCCCAAACGTGGAGAGAGGCAGGGCGACGACCTTGGCCAGCGCCGCAACCACCCCCTCGAAAGAGACAGGGGAGCGGTCCGCATTGTTGTGGAAATGGATGCCCAAGGTCTTCGCCGACGCGACCACCCGCGGGATCGGGGCAGCGGGGCCATGGGGCCCAGGGGACAGGCCGGCGGGGGCGAGGAGGGGAGGAGGGGGAGGGCGCAAGAGTGCGGCAGCCACCGAGGCGGCAGCAGGGAGGGCGCCGAGGAGGAGGGAAGCGGCCAGGGAGGGGGGGGAGGCGCGGACAGCCGCGGCGAGCAGGGCGAGGGCGAGGGAGGGGTGGAGGGGGGGAGGAGGCGGGGGAGGAGGGGGCGGTGGAGGTGGAGGAGGAGGCGGAGGCGGGTGGGTACCAAGCAGCAAGAGCTCGGTCTTGTCCACATTGAGGCGCTGTCCAGAAGCGGCCCGAAAGACCTCCATGGCGGCGAGGAAGCGGGGAAGGTCGGCGAGGCTGGCCAGGAAGGGAGTACAGTCGTCGGCATACTGGGATGCGCGGACCTCGGGGCCGGGAGGTGCTGGCAGGCCGCTAGATGGGGTAGGGCCCGAGACCTGGAGGCCAATACCTTGCTGCGTAAGCCAGCAGAGCAGGGCCTGGCCCACGGCAAGGTAAAGGAGGGGAGCCAAAGGGCAGCCCTGGCGGACACCGGAGGTGATGGGGACCCTGCCAGAGCAGTGGCCGTGTTAGGTCATCTGGTGCCGTGGAGTCACAGGAGCGCATGCCGTGCTCATTCCAAGTCTATAAGGCCCATTGAGTCGTTCCACTCCCCTGTAATCGCATTCATTCCAGTGGTAATAATACATTCCTGTACTGAAGAGGAGGGGCTCCGCCCTTTTCCAGCTTTGAGGAAGCTGAACCCCCTTGTTTGAACTCAGGCGTTGTTAAAAATAATTCCAGGCCAAACGTAATTAAAAATTACAATATGAACAATTTTCCCCTACGCGCTCCTACGCACTCATTCCCAAAATCACTCATATGTGAATGGCCCCTAAATCGACCATCAAGGACATTTAGTTGTAACATAAACTCTGATATACTGTGTTGCAGCCTAGGTAAAGGGTTGTCAAGGTATATGTGTATGTCTTTCTCTCTGGTCTGTACGCTCTACGAGTTTACAGTGGGGTTATCTTTCACCCCGACCGCTATCATCATTTATACGACACGCTTTTCGAGTATTTCCTTACTCCTGCAAAACCATTTCAGCTTATGAACATATATTTAGTATCTGCTATAGGTAACTATCCTGGTCCTGTCGGCAAACTGAAGACCCGCATGTCGCTTGGCGTTGCTTTGCTTCAGAAATTACATTCACGAAAACGTCTTTGGCACAGCTTTACAACATAACTATTATTTACGCAAATGATACTCTCTGTGCTGGTACATACACGAGGTACAAAAGGACTGTTCACGGTACTGTACACGGTACAAAAAGGACACAAGGTCTCGGTCTGGACAATTAGGACCGAACGCTAAGACTACGCCCCATAAAGGGGCGAGCCAACTGGCGAACGAGGAGACCCTAGCCCAGAAATCAACAACCACCTCGGCGCCGATCTGGCGCAGACGACCAGGGGGAACAGGTGTACGTGAATTCCAATCACGATACAAGTGCTGGCGGCCTCTCTCCAGTGCCGCCAGAGCAGCCAAAGCCACAACATCCCGTTAGGAGGAAGAGCGTCAATGGACGGCAGAGCTCATACACGTTTGGCGACACCAGGGCGCCTGGCACGTGACACGCGGGTGCATTGGGAACGGAAGCTGATCATCTATGTTAAGGGCGAAACCGCAGCGCGAAAGGATGCATGAAGACGGAGAGACCGTACTAACTGCAGATTGGACGGAGGAATACGGAGGGACCGCAATTGTGTGAGACGCCGCTGTGTTGTAAACGGGCCGCAGCAACAAAAAACACATGAAGAAAACGTTGAAGAACATAACCTAATTGTGCTTATCAAAAAAAGAGGCGACGCGACAAATGCAACGCGGTTATACAACCAACTGTAGCCTCAGCCCCCTGACCGCCCTCCCAACATTGGCTACACAGATCCCTAACCGGTACCTGTTCATTTCTTAGCAATCCTTACTGGGGTAAGGCAGTGCAAGGTGTGCGGCACATAATAACGGTGAACTGCAGGCCAGCCCCTCCCCTAGCCCCTAACCGTAGGTGGCAGCACGATGACTTGATGCGTTTTCGGGTGTACTAGAAGCACGGGGACGGTGAAAAATGAGGCCCTTCCCTTACCGCAGCCATCATGAGGACCCCCATGCCCCCAAACCGGTACCCTTCCTAGTAGTGCAAGTCCCACCGCTAGCCGGTGAGCTAGTATAACTGATGACAAGGCGACCCAACTGTAGGTGGCAGTGCGAAATTAACCTAATTGTAGTCTCAGGCTGAGGGCCTCAACGCTAACCCCCCAACGCTAACCCTCACTAATTATACTGCAACCAGCCACCACATATCCCCTTTGTGAATGAATGACCGTTACAATGGTGCCCTAAAAGGGAACACGGGTGATGAACCCAACCCTACATTGCAAAAGAAACGGAACAAACCGTAGAGACAGCACCACAACGGGCCAACAAGATGGGAGACATAGCCCTAAAAGAAACCTCAGGAGGGAAACAAGAGGGTAGAAGCCAAAAAAGGCCCCTCAGCAAACCTCGACAAACCTCATCTAGGGCATAAGACAACCCAAACCGGAAGCCACGAACACACCACCCCAAAGACATCAGGGCCAAAAACAGGACGCTCAACGGCCCACAGAAAACCGCCCGCCAACAATACGTAAGAAAGGATGAGAAGGGCCAACCCCAGCCCATCCCCGACGGGGAACACCCAAACAAGCAAAACCCCGAAGCTGACCCCAGAACCAGGAAACAGCAGACAGGGCCACCACATCAGCAAGCCCAGGCACAACACCCGCAGAACCGGACTCACGTACACGAGCCCGTAACAACCGCCGACCCTCCTCCATAGCGGACAAAGCAGCCAAAACAACAACATCCCAAACGCACTGCTGCACGCCCGAAGGAGGCAACGCCAACCACAAGGCAGCCCGAGGAACCGCAACACCCAGCGAGACCTCAAGCTGCTCAACCACAGCACGAGCAACAGGACAAGCCCAGAAAAAATGCAACAGCGGAGACACCCCCAAGACAACGGACCCACAACCACAACATTCCGGACGAGCCCTAGACATATGAGAATTCCCCAGCAAGGGAACCCCATCAATAGAAAGACGCCAAAACGCTTCCTTGAAACCATTCTCCCAACGAATCGACCAAAGACGCTGGAAAGAATCACGAAGGCCATCCAAGACACCCTCAGGAAGCTGCTGGGTAGCAGGTAACCCCAGGGCCTCCCGAATAAAAGCCGCATGCAACACAGCACGTTCCTCAAACACACCCCCAAGCTGAAGAACGGTAGCCATCCGAACCGACAGATTCCTCAAAGGAACGGCGCCAACATGAGGCAACTGCCACCCCAAACGTGGAACCAAAACCTGCCAAGCATCAACCTCAGAAGCCGGCGGAGGTTGGGGCGGCAAGGCATCAACAAGAAAAGTCTCAGCAGCCTCCACCCAAGCCACAGGCACCGCACCCAACAACGACTCAAGAGACGTCAAAAGATCACGACACCTAGGCAACGAACAAAGAGCACAGGCATCCGGGGACGCCGGGTCCAAAAACCGACGTACAAGAGCGGACCAGCACCTCTCCATCACCCTGCCCTCAGCAACCCCCGACACACCGTTCAACAACGCTGAATCCCACGTGTCCTCAAAACAACGAAGTTGAGCCAGGGCAGCCACACACATACCCAATGAACGCAGGGCATGGCAATGAACGAGCACCGGATAGTGGTGCTCCAAACCCAACACACCAGGTTGGCCCGGCAGCCCAACCGGCAAGAAAGGGTTACCCCACAACGGAACACCCCAACACCAGCTACCCGGTACCAAAGGCTCCGACCCAATGTCAGTAACTGGCGGTAAAATTGCCATAGAAGTCACAACCCGACGAATATCCTCAGGCAAACCATCCACACCCAACCAAGGCCCCCTCCTGGACGCTGTCAACAATGATAGGGGACCAAACGCCGGATGCAACCGCCGAAGGTACAGAAGCAAAGCACGCTGCCAGGGATGTAAGGAATCCCTTGGCATCACGGCGGAACAAACTAAACGGGCACCCCAACAAGCAAAACGGGCCCGAATATGCTCAATCAAAGGCAAGGCACCAAAACCCCCTGCCCTGGGGTGACCTGCTAACAGCCTACCCGGAACACCCGTGGCACGACGCTCCCTATCCTGCGGACCCTGGTGCCGATCAATAAACTTAGCCACCAACCTCCCCAGGTTGTCCAACTGATCACCCGGAGTCAAACCGGAATGCTCCATGTGCCAAGTTACCGTATGCAAAGCATAAGCAGCTGCGCCGGTAGCCCTACCAAAAATGGAAAGTGGAAGGCGAGCCAACTTCTGTAAGCGGTTCTCCGCTTCCTGAAACCGTTTGCTCCAGTCAAGACCCGGAACCGTGTCCGAGTTAGTAAAAGGCACATTAAGCGCCACTGCCGTACGAGCTACCGACACTCCATGAATAACCTGCTGCCCCTCAGTACCCGTCTGAACCCCTATTGGCAAGAGCTCCACCTTGTCCAAATTCAAGCGTTGACCCGACGCCTTCGCAAACGTCTCCATGTGCTGGAGGAAATCCCCCACCGCATCAGGCCCTCGCAACACCACTTCAGTGTCATCAGCAAACTGAACAGCTGTGGTAAGGGAGGAATCCAACGGATCAAGCGCCACACCAACCTGGCAGTGCTGTAACCAACACAAAAGGGCTTGCGCAGCAAACAAGTACAGCAAAGGCGCCAAAGGACACCCTTGTCGTACACCTGCTTCCATACACACCCGTTGCGACCTGTAGCCGTTAACAACCGCAACAGCACACGTGTCACTGAGCAGAAGCTTAGCCCACTTCAACAGGCCTGCCCCAGCCCCCATTGCATCCATGACCGAGAACAGAAAAGCCCGATCCAAGGTATCATACGCCTTAGCAAAATCCAAGAAAGCTACCATGCCGGAGCGCCCCTGGTGAGTAAGCAAATGCGGAAGTGTACGCGAAAAAAGCACATTGGCACCAATTAATCTACCAGGAAGGAACGCCGACTGCTCTAAAGTAATCACGTCACCTAGAGCCAGCCCAACGCGTGATGCAAGTACCTTCGCAAGAAGGCGATAATCTGTACACAACAGAGTAATAGGACGGTAGTTACCAGCTAGTGTACGGTCACCCCTACCTTTCCATCACCCGTGTTCCCTTTTAGGGCACCATTGTAACGATCATTCATTCATTCGTAATGACCCCATCTAGAAAGCCAACCGGTAACAAGCCTGTCTCCCCTATGGCGGAGAAAACTCTGGCTAAAATCGAGGCCAACTGCCCCTTGAAAACCTTATAGATAGCAGTAGGGAGCCCATCCCACCCCGGGGCCTTACCCAGCGGCGTTGCTTTAAGAGCCGCAAGCACCTCCGCCTCTGAGACCTGAGACTCACCCACTCTGTCTGCTACCTCGTCACTCAACCTCAAGTTCCGCGTGCGTACAGCACTAAGAACCTCATCACTAGCCTCCACCGACAACCCCGAAGACTTGCAACTAATATCCCTCCAGTAATCAGCCACCAGTTGCGGCAAACGGCCCGGAGCAGAAACCAACCGCCCCATGTTGTCTTGCAGCGCCGCGACCGTGTGGCACGCAGCTGGCGGTTTGACCACTGCAGTAATAGCCGGACTGGGCCGCTCCCCCACCCTAAGCCAGGAAACCCTAGACTCGTAAGCGGCATGAGCCGCCTCAGCCCGTGATGCAATGGCTATTCGAGCCTGAGCCTCAACTAAGTCCTCCAGTGTCGACGTACTGCTGCTTCCCGCTGCTGATTGCTGCGTTTGGCGTGCTGCACGTATGGCATCCTGGAGTGACTGACCCGGCATTCGCCGCCGCCGCTGAGCTACCCGGCTAAGAGTATTTGCTGCGGCAGCAAGCCTGCGTTTGAAACCGGCCCACCAGTTGACTGTGGCTGGAAGTTCCTCCCGTGATGGCATTGTAGTTTTTGGCCTGCCCTTGGTTCTAGGCGCTCCGATAGGCCGCGCCGTGGAAGCAAGGGAAAAGCCATAGGGAATACCGGGACTTACAGGGTGTTTCCACTTGGCAGCGCGTTTGAACTTTCTCGGCCGTCTTCGCGTCTTTCCTCGAGTTAGGTCCGCGCCCGGATTGTGGGCTCTGAGCATGCTCGCAATAAAGCCCAGGATTATGGGCTCTGAGCATGCTCGGAAATAAAGTGGCGAGATTTCGGCTTTTAATAGTATGCACAAATAGGCTTAATATATGGCTATATAGTATGGCCCAGATTTAACGCGTTGCTGCACTCCCGGTGAAAGGTCGCGGGACACACCCTGAACCTGGGCTCTGAACATGCTCGGAATTAAATAACAAGATTCCCATTTTTAATAGCACGGACAAATAGGCTTAATATATGGCTATATATTATGGCCCAGATTTAACGCGTTGCTGCACTCCCGGTGAAAGGTCGCGGGACACACCCTGAACCTGGGCTCTGAGCATGCTCGGAATTAAATAACAAGATTCCCATTTTTAATAGCATGGACAAATAGGCTTAATATATGGCTATATATTATGGCCCAGATTTAACGCGTTGCTGCACTCCCGGTGGAAGGTCGCGGGACACACCCTGAACCTGGGCTCTGAGCATGCTCGGAATTAAATAACAAGATTCCCGCTTTTAATAGCATGGACAAATAGGCTTAATATATGGCTATATATTATGGCCCAGATTTAACGCGTTGCTGCACTCCCGGTGAAAGGTCGCGGGACACACCCTGAACCTGGGCTCTGAGCATGCTCGGAATTAAATAACAAGATTCCCATTTTTAATAGCATGGACAAATAGGCTTAATATATGGCTATATATTATGGCCCAGATTTAACGCGTTGCTGCACTCCCGGTGGAAGGTCGCGGGACACACCCTGAACCTGGGCTCTGAGCATGCTCGGAATTAAATAACAAGATTCCCGCTTTTAATAGCATGGACAAATAGGCTTAATATATGGCTATATATGACGGCCCAGATTTAACGCGTTGCTGCACTCCCAGCAGGCAGCTATGTCCCGGCCCGGAATCCGGGCTCTGAGCATGCTCGCTCAGAATATATAGGGTGCATGACTTACACAACTGCCTCACATGGGCTCTTATTACATAAATGGTCTATTAAACGCCCTAGTGTAATTTATGTTCAGCGCCACCACTTCACCCTCGTCGACGAGCAAGTCACATTTTAGCATACAGATAACTAGGTTTCATATTGTGCTATTGTTAGTGCCAAGTAGTGATTGCCAAAGGACAGGATCACCGCTCCCAAAGGTTGCGATGCTGGCAGAGGGACGTTTTCCGAACTCTAGGCTTTGCTTGCGTAAGGGTCATACCGCATGCTGCGGTGTAAGCTGCAAAGGTCTAATGCACAGCGGAGGGAGTACACGGTGCTGCAACTGGAAGCGTCAATGTCGATTGGTCTTTACCGCGCCGGACTGGCTGACACGCCCGCGAGTGCCGCCAGGCGAATAGACACGTTAAAACAGCAGAAGTGGAAAGAGCAGGAAGTGGACTAGCTGTCGTTAAGTTAAGACGGACATACATGTAGACCGGGAAAAACTCTTATGTTGCGTGGAAGGGGTCACCATTTATAGGAAAGGTTTAATCCTTGCAATAGAGTAAAGACATATGTAGCATGGCGCATATGTCTTTACTTTCAGAAGCGAGCACGAAGACCACATGGCGGGTATGTCGCGCCCATACGCCGGCTTGCACACCTAGCGCCACTGGGGTCCACACTAGCTGGTCCCCTTTCGCTCCCCGCTTGCACAGAGAGGGGCGCACCTAGATCTCCTGAGACCAGGTTAGCGCCACCCAGCAGCCCTGCGCCGCAGTCTGGGGTCCGACGGCAAGGCGGCTGGGCCACAAGCTGACCAGGCCTGTGAGGGGCGGTGATCTAGACTAGAACTAACTACTACGGCTATTCTTGGTTGCTATGGCTGTTGGTTTACGCTGGTAGTCAAATGGCTACGCTACTACGCGCATACAAGCTGGCGGCTCCTGCAGGAAACCACGACAAGTGGGGATCAAGCACTGTCTCTTACAACTTGCGTAACTGCGAGCTGAGCGCAACGCCCTAACCCGGGCGTCGCGCTGCCTAACAGGAAAGCCACTCGTACGACAACCTGATGCGATACGCCGTACACGTATCTTCTGCAAGACAGCAAGGCCCAAAGCACAGGAGCCAACGCAACACCTTATGATATATTCAGAATCACTTGCCATCGTAATAGCAAACAATCCCTGCAGTCATCACTTGACCGAACCGCGGGACACCTGCCACCGTCGCACCCGCCTCTGCCGACAGAATGAACATACCGGCAACGGGGCGCGACAGGTAGGACTCACAGAGCGATAAAAAGCAATATCGTTCGGTCAAACCAGCACGTTCAGCCCTGCCACGCATGCATATGACATGACACCAACTCCAGCTCTTAGCCACCTCATGGCCTATGTATGGGAAGTCCGTAGCCGTGAAATGGATGCCGGGTGGCCCTCCAGCCCCACAAAACAGCATGTTTGACCAGGTTCCATGTTGCATGCCCCGCCCAACTAGCACATTCGGCCCTGCCACGCATGCATATGACTTGACACCGACTCCAGCTCTTAGCCACCTCATGGCCTAGGTATGGGAAGTCCGTAGCCGTGATTGTGGCACGAAATGGATGCCGGGTGGCCCTCCAGCCCCTTAAAACAGCATGTTTGACCGGGTTCCATGTTGCATGCTCCGTCCAACTAGCACATTCGGCCCTGCCACGCATGCATATGACTTGACACCGACTCCAGCTCTTAGCCACATCATGGCCTATGTATGGGGAGTCCGTAGTCGTGATTGTGGCGCGAAATGGATGCCGGGTGGCCCTCCAGCCCCTCGAAACAGCATGTTTGACCGGGTTCCATGCTGCATGCCCCGTCCAACTAGCACATTCGGCCCTGCCACGCATGCATATGACTTGACACCGACCCCAGCTCTTAGCCACATCATAGCCTATGTATGGGGAGTCCGTAGCCGTGATTGTGGCGCGAAATGGATGCCGGGTGGCCCTCCAGCCCCTCGAAACAGCATGTTTGACCGGGTTCCATGCTGCATGTATGCCCCGTCCAACTAGCACATTCGGCCCTGCCACGCATGCATATGACTTGACACCGACCCCAGCTCTTAGCCACCTCATGGCCTATGTATGGGGAAGTCCGTAGCCGTGATTATGGCGCGAAATGGATGCCGGGTGGCCCTCCAGCCCCACAAAACAGCATGTTTGACCGGGTTCCATGTTGCATGCCCCGCCCAACTAGCACATTCGGCCCTTCAACGCATGCATTTGACTTGACACCGACTCCAGCTCTTAGCCACCTCATGGCCTATGTATGGGGAATCCGTAGTCGTGATTGTGGCGCGAAATGGATGCCGGGTGGCCCTCCAGCCCCTCGAAACAGCATGTTTGACCGGGTTCCATGCTGCATGTATGCCCCGTCCAACTAGCACATTCGGCCCTGCCACGCATGCATATGACTTGACACCGACCCCAGCTCTTAGCCACATCATAGCCTATGTATGGGGAGTCCGTAGCCGTGATTATGGCGCGAAATGGATGCCGGGTGGCCCTCCAGCCCCTCGAAACAGCATGTTTGACCGGGTTCCATGCTGCATGCCCCGCCCAACTAGCACATTCGGCCCTGCCACGCATGCATATGACTTGACACCGACCCCAGCTCTTAGCCACCTCATGGCCTATGTATGAGGAGTCCGTAGCCGTGATTGTGGCACGAAATGGATGCCGG